ATCAACCAATGATTGCTGTTTCATCATTGGATGAAGTAATGAATGTAGAAGATTTAGATATATCATTAACACCAAAAGTAGAAGGTCGATGGAGATGGACAGGAACGAAAACAGTTCAGTTTGAAGCAAAACATCGTTTACCATATTCAACAGAATACGCATTAAAAGTCAACAAAGAGCGTTGTGTTTCAGCAATAGGAGGTAAATATATTTAAAAGCAATCGAACGCATCCGGTAGTTAATAATTTTCTCTGAAGACGAGCTGTTTATGACTCGGTCCTCATTTTTCACCCAAGAGATAAAAGGTGAAGAGAATGTAGAAAATCTTAAAACGGTGTGCGGAGAGCTATTCTCATAAGGGCATCAAGTTAATGTCTATGCGTCGGTAAGAGAAGAGACAGAATACACAAAAGCAAGGAAGCAATACCATGAACGTGTCTCATAAAGAAAAATACGCATATAATGTTACATTGTAACCTTAAAGAGAAAAATAAATCAAAAGGATGATTGAAACAGAAACATGAGAAGATTGCGTAGCAGAACATATTTCGTTCTATTCGAAAAGTTTTATGAACTTCTGTTTTTATCTAATGAGCAGAATGAAACGGTTGTGCATAAGATAGCATAACTCGACGTAAGATTTAACAGCAAATGGTCAAAATGGCAAGGCTTAATCATACTATATACGCATAGAAGTAAGGTGCTGAAAAAGCTTTTTGTTGGAATTTAAAAGTTAAAAGTATGGAAACCACATATCACGATTACGAAAAGTACAGCTAAGTAAAAATAGTATTTTATCGTTTAGGTAGAAAAGAACTAGTAGCCACGCTCAACGCATAGGACTGCCTTGATGCACTGATAGGTGCAGTGAGCTGCGTCGGAGAAAAGAGAAAAGTTGAATCGAGCATCGATCAATGCAATCAGATATCGCTGGACACGACACTTTTCTGAGTAAAGACTGTAAACATAACGAATGATGTTATAAAACGATTACTGTATGTATCCGCTTACCAATTGTAATTATACATTATGTATAACTTATGTATTAGATAAATAGCTTAATACTTTAATGTATTTATCACTCTAGCTTCCACAGCAGCCTTTCGTATCCGTACCCACATGCGATCTAAGAACATCGGAAGAGACGACATAAGCATTACTTTGTCTGTTACGAGCACTGGAGATACTCGATAGTTCTTTCTATTGATACACAAAGATATTTTCAACTAGTCAAAGTCGTTCAATCTGACTATACTTCGTGAACGAAGAGAGCTTTATTGTTTGTGTCAAGTACAAGAACGACGACAATCATATCGCTATTCTGACATCGTTCTCATGCATGAGTGTATACATACACATCTATCTTCAATACACTACACCAGACACAACCAACCCAGTAGCTGTTTAAGAAGAACGATACTTTTGAGAATATAACTTATTTTGATATTCTGACATCTCTACTCAAAGGTTCTAGAGCTGTCAGAATGTCCGTACGACTGAGCATCCAGATTTGTAGCTTGTATGAATGAGAAGAGGGTATTGTTAACTCTGGGGTACGTTGCAGATGCTTTCGGAGGCATCACTTGGCAGCCCGACTAGGCTCGAAATTTTTTGTAGGGACTTGTTTGAAGAATACTAGTAAGCCCACAGTTGCCAACAAACTTATAACGGCAAATATACAGCTGCAAGGAAATGGTTATTAGTTGGGTGAAATCTGTTGCAAGAAAATGGGCAAACTAGTCACAGAAGAAGAAATAAAAACAGTGTGCAAATATCTCATCAAAGCATGATCATGTAATGCTTATCTAGTCTTCAGATGTTCTTAGATCTCGTGTGAGTACGGACATACAAGGCTGCTGTGGAAGTTTGAGTGATAAATGTATAAAAGTAATACGCTGTTTATCTAATACATATACATAACGTATACTTACAGTTGGAAAGCGAATACACACCGTAATCGTATTATAACATCTCTAAATATAACTATGCATCTAGCGGAAGTCAATACAGCTATTTTCTTTTGGGGTAGCGCGATTGCCACCTTCAGAAGGTGTCAACAACGGCTATTATAATTTTTAACCTATCACGTTTCGGAACGTAGAAAAGAATAAAACATATATTAAATGGGTGACACCTCTGAGGATGGCAATAGCTCCTTGGTGACACCTGTGATGGTGCCAATAGCCATTCCGTTTCTTTTGATAGATACACTAGTAGATCTAGCTAGGTGCATTGACGTTTATTCAATGCACCTTTAGTGTTTAAGTCTTCAAAAGTCTGCGTCATCTTTTGGTGGATGCATTTTTGTTGCAAATATCTGGTTAAGGACATAAATTCGTTCTCAAAGAAAATGAGACAAAGATATTTATATATATATGACAAATTCTGTTCAAACTTGAACCCTCAATAACTCTGCATATAAGACCGTAGTTCTTGACCGCCACAAGTTCTTAATTTTTCACCATATAGAACAGTTTCAACATTAAAACCTCAATGCTTTCTGTTATTTGATCAAAAAATCCATACACATGAAATTTTGAAACATTTACGTGTGATGTACGGTGATGGACATCAAATGCAAAATGAAAAATTAGAACTGCTAGATGAAAAAACAGTAAAAAGTAAATTTGAATCATTTATGAATGCCGATCAAGGAAATTATGAGAAATACGTTGCATTTTCATTTAAACATGATTTATTAAAAGCAACACAATATACAATTCAACTGCCTAGTGGATGTCCATCAGCTGAAGGTCCACTAAAGACAAGGTCGGAATGGTCAGCTAGTTTTCATACTTATGAACCATTAAAAATAACTGACTGGTATCCAAATATGGCGCTTAAACAGTCTGTTGATCCTGGTAACAGTTGGTCAATAACATTCAATAATTCATTAGATCATTCAACACTTAATAAATCATTATTCAAATTTGAGCCAGTAGTCAATGGTTTAGGTAAGTGTAGCCAAAAATTGTTCAACGACAAATGTTCTTTTGTCTTTGAGTTGATGATAAAACTATAACTGTCGAGAAATGAGACAGAAATAAATTTAGATGAATAAAACGGATAAAGAAGGGTAAGTTTTATATCCACAAAACATAGTCAATGGTTCTTATAACTGTTGAAAGGCAACAGGTTTATAGTCAATAATTGACCCTTGATTAAAGCAGTCTGTTGCATAGTCCGCTAACAAATTGTTAACAATATTATTTTGGCCAACGGCAGAAGATGTACCTTTTGTCAGTATGCAAACAATATACAACTTACCATGAAAAGGTCGTTTTAGGCATTGAACATACGAAAGGCAATGGTCGACAAATAATAATACATAATAGTTCTGAACCCAACACTGTTTATAAACTGTTTATACAATCAGCAGCAATGAAAGATATTTATGGTCAAAGACTAGAACAGAATAATTCAAACAATTCAATTCAGTTCCATGTACACGATCCACCACCATTAATTGGAGATATATCAGGCGCAACAGGTATAGCTCCAAACATTTATACTAAAACAGAATTTAAAATAACAAAAGTTTTAAAAATGTGAATTTCATATATGATAAAATATACAATAAAAGATTATGAAATATTTGTATTAATGAAAGAAAGCTTTATTTTAGGAATGATTATAATGGATCCAGGTGTATTAGATGAACCATTTTATCCATTTATGGTTTATAATTATTCAGAATTGACAATTCGTGTAAATAAAGTAAAACCAGAACATTATCAACAATGTTTACCGTGTTTTAACTCATATTATTTCACATATGAGAATCAAGAATGGTATAATAAATTACCTGGAGAAGAATTATTAAATGAAGTTATTCAAACAAACTGTAAACGTTATGAACCCAAGGAAATAAAAGTGCCATTGGCAGCATATTTAAATAAAAAATCCAACAGTGGTCAACTAATTATATTAATTGAACCCACCAAAAAAGCATGGGATGAATGTCAACGTGGAAACTGGCAATATAGACAAATTATATCAGCTTGGTTACAATGTACTCGATTAGCTGTCGATGTATATCTTTCTTCAAGTAAGTAAATTTGAAAAGTAGAGAAGCTAATTTGTTAGCAATTAATACTTTTGGATTCAATCGCACCCAACAAATGAGATCTAAGACTGGATGGTTTCGGCACATACTGAAAACTACTTGGGAAAGTTTTGAGGAATTTTACCGCGGTAAACTTCCGTAAAAGATATTTTTACCGTTACCGCTCATCCCTAACGTAATCGAAACATTGTAGCAACCTGGTCTATTGTACGGTTTTCACTGGTGTGGAAGAGGATATTACAACTTATGTATTGTAACCAATATGTTTTATTGGTTATGACAGATGAAAAAATACTCGTCACTGCATGCCGTAATCTTCTTTCTTAAATAATACTGCAGTATAAATATTTAATAGAGACTAAATGACGTCAAAATGAACTTGTAAAGTCGAAATGTAACGTGAGCCATTCCATGTGAAATCGAAAAAGGATGTTGATGTCATGTCTTTTATATTTTAAGTGTCCAGACATACTTAGAAACATACACAAAATATACCTTTTCACAAATCCATATTAAGGATGATATACAATATTTATAAAGTCGTTCCCAGCATAAATAAATTTATCACTATTGCAGCACATCAACTTCTGGATCAAAATATCTTATCTGTGTATATCGTAAAAGTTTGATATTATGTCCCATGGTGGTTGATTATGTGCACTATGAGTTGCTATAGTAATGGTCTTCAAAAGGTTCTTTCGTATATAGCTCATTACATTAGCAGTTGCACCAAGTAACTTCGGATACGCGATTGCCTAAGGTCTTCTGTATGCCTGCTTACTTTTAAATAAATGTGTTCGAACTCTCACACTTTAAAATGTCTGTTTAAGACAGATTTATTTCTACGGGGAACGACTTTATAAATATTGTATATCATCCTTAATATGGATTTGTCAAAAGATATGTTTTGTGTATGTTTCTAAATGTGCCTGCAGTACATACACCTAAAATTTAAGCTCTGTCTAAAGACATGATTTTAACATCATTTGTCGATTTTGCTTGAAATCACCGAGTTATCACTTAGGGTAGACGCAGTAAATGAATAAAAGAAGTAAAAGCATCAGTTGCACAATGATCCTGAATAGCCCATTAGAACTTTTGGAAATAATTAGAAATTAATGCGAACTAATTTAAAAAAGTCTCATATTAAACTAGTGCTTATTCATTTTTTTCTGATTAAAAATCAATTCAAATTAATTTAACTTCATAAATTAATTCAAATCAATTGAATTTTAACCAATTCGAATTAATTTATCAAAATTAATTTGAATTGATTTTTAATCAGAAAAAAATGAATAAGCACTAGTTTAATATGAGACTTTTTTAAATTAGTTCGCATTAATTTCTAATTATTTTCGAAAGTTCCAATGGGAGGTTATTCAATCTGATGTATTTAGGACCGCCCTTTCGGAATCTCTGAAAAATCGGTATTGATATAGTAAATTGTTAAAAATTAATGTATGACTGTCTCACCAAATAAGCAGATCGTACAAGTTTTATTGTATCAGAAGTATACTTGTAAGATAGTGATTAAAGAGAGTATTCACGAACATTCCGTGATAGTAATTAATCTTCCTTAGCATGCAACGCACATTTACACTAAATTCAATGTGAGATAAAAATTTGATTTTACCACGTTTGCCATATTCATTGAGTGGTTTTGAGTCTTGTTGGATCTCTTTACCTAGATTGTTATAATCGCTTTATTATTTCTTTGAATTTATTCTTATCGATGTAACCAGAAGAGTATTTGGTCAAAATATTGTTGTTTTGTTCTTTAAACAAAACTGCGTTGATTATAAATTTCTTTGTACTATAGGTATGGACTTAATCTTAACTGCATGGGTTACTGAATTAATGACTGGCGCATCTGTCAATCAAGCAACTGTTTCAGTATTTGATAAAAAACAAGAAACAAATCAACAAGGACTATGCACAATTCGAACGCTCAGCACAGAGAACAATGAAGGAGGAATATTAGTTGTAGAAAAAGATGAAGATACATGTATGATAGTAGATATTTATCATGATAAATCAGATTTTAATGTTTATGTATGGCACGTATTTAATGATCGAGGTTTATATAAGCCAAATGACGATGTACATATAAAAGGTTATGTTAGATTATTGAAAGTAGAAAGTGAAGCAAAATTACCATCTTATGCACAAGGTACAATTGATTATACAATTAATGATCCTCATGGCCAAAAACTTGAAGAGTCAAAAGTGAGACTGAATGATTATGGTGCATTTGACATAAAATTTAAATTACCTGATAATGTTAACTTAGGTAAAGTTTTGTTCTCATATTCACTGCTTTGCCTTTACCCTGAAGCTTCCTATGTAATACATGTTACATCTTATATATTTTGCGTCTTTTTCCCTTCTCGTATATCTCCAAGAAAAATGCATAACATATTTGAAATTAGCAGACAAACGGGGTCGAGTGTCATATTTGACAGTGGTTTTTCCACCAAAAAATGTCATTAGGGGGAGGCACTTGGTGATGATGGTATCTTCCTGACAAGGTTTCATACTTTTTTCTCCTCATTGGCTTCCATAATCATACTTTTGCATGTTTATGATATCCTTTCACCGTCAATAAGGACGTTCTTTAGTTACTCAGCCAAAGTGGGCATTTTTCCACGGAGGAGCCGGACATCTGGTTGAAAATAAGAGAAGGGGACACTCGCCGAACTTTTGTCACGCAATTTTTTATTTGTAAAACTAATAAATGGTACATCACTCAATGTAGTTTCTCATATACCGAAATATCACTTTATTTTGTAACACAAGAGTTTCTGACGAATATTTTGGCGTCATTCTGAGTCGAATTGGACTGCACTAACTTGCGCGATCTCATTATACTGTACACATGTATCGGAAACAATCTTAAGTTTGGGAAAACACTTTGTTTTTTGACGTCAGACTTCAGTCCGAAACGAAGTTTTTTTGGAATATGTAGCTGAAACTGCGTGGATTCCGAATATACAAGTTTTATGGCCTCACATGAGATTGATGTTACAAAATAATATATTCCTTGTATACTTTTACTAATACGTTTTATGCAAAAATTCGCCACTTGAGACAAAATATCTTTTACCGTTAAACTGACGTATATTTGACACCACTGGAATTTTGAAAAAGCCTACGTTCGATTTTACGTCAAATGTCCGCCTGCATGCCCGCTGTATCAGCCTCGTTTTCTTTCGCATATTACATTAGTGTCTAGTATGCTAATGAATGCATGCTACTATATAACAGTTAACTCTGAAGTAGGCATGCACCAGTTACAGTTAACTGTATAATTGTAAAACTGTAACTGTCGTAACTGTTTGAAAAATATTTTAGACTGAATTAATGTTGTGCGATTAACACACATTTCGGAGTAAGGACAAAAAATACACATATATATGACTTTTATATAGAATTGATAGTTGCTTTGTTGAAGATAATTATTTTGGTTGACAAAGCCACATATATTTCAAAACAGTTATGATAGTTACTGTTAGCAGCAGTTTTACCACTACAGTTAACTGTCAAAAAACTGTGACTGTTGCATGCCTACCTTGAACATTAGATCAGAAGTTATTCACATTTACAAAAAAAAATGAAACCCTTAAATCTCATCACTCACGAATTACTCAGTTAAAGGGGTTTAAACTGATGGGATGATCGACATATGAGTTTAGGCTTACATCCACATACGCTTTGAAGGCACTAGCTATTATGATTCTTAAGGGCAAGGGATATCCTTACTTTGTGTACGACTCCTTTTATCTACCGACGTTTAGAAAGAAATGAGCATTTCTGGAGTCAATTATTTATGCTAGAAGTAGTTTCCTGAAAGGCTACTGTTCTTGGGATTCCGTTGAGTTCAACGATGTTATATAAAATTGATCTATCATGCATTTATATTTATATTAGGCGACGGCTCTATATATTTCAGTTTACCAGATTTAGCAACTAATACAACACATTATTTTAAAGTTCAAGAGTTTCGAAAACCAGAGTATGAAGTTTCTTCAATGCATCGACCAACAACACCACATTATTGTCATTTAACAACTGATGAATATGTTATAGTTACTTGTGAAGGAAAATTGTTTGCTGGTGGTTATTTAAATGATGCAAATGTTCAATGGACAGTTAAACCTGAAACAACACAATTTACACCACCAGAACGATCTGACTATACATTTGGCAGAGCTGAGCAATTCTTTTGGCGATATCGTTATAATAATTCTTCTCAGACTCAGAATAAAATATCATATCCAGCAAAAACTTTTCAGGTAATCTAATTTTATTTTAAGAGCAAAAAGTAACCAGAATACGAAGTACAATCTTTGTTAGCTAAAAGTCCCTCTGAAGATGTCCTGACTTTTCTTGAATCCATACGAAGAAATGGGTACTAAAGTGGAAAACAAAAATTAGAGTACTTGCTTTTCTTGATTTCTTCACTAGGCGAAGTTACAGGTTATATTTATCTTACTTAGTTTCTGACGCTGTTTCGAATGGAATAATTCAGATTTTCTTCACACACTCATTCCTAAGATTGAGCAATCAAATTGAAGTCTATGACAATATTGGCTTTAAGGGGTGTGTCCTCCCTCCGTCCGTTTTTTCTGACGAGTTTGTAGAGGACACTTCGGAGTAAATGTCTCAACAAAGCTTTCGGTTCCCGGATTTATTTTTAAAATTTCAATTTTAATTTGAAGACTTGATTCTAGCGTAGTTCGATAGAGAATATTAACTTGTATAAGGAGAAACTCTTTTCATCGTTCCCGGATGAACTTTGACGCAGAAATGTAACGTTCACCTCCCCGAGGAAGTTTTAAAGCTAAAAGTATTTTTCACCTCAGCTTACGGGTTGTTTCGTTCGAAGCAAAACTCTGGGTGCAAAACTTTTTGCTCAGAATAGAATTATGCAATCCCTAATGAGAGTTTTTTTTTAAATTGTTCCTTTTTGGTTTTTAATTTAAGTTCACTAGGTCTATAAAGTAACAATGAATATTTCTAACTTTTCTTATCTGCAAGTATACTAGAGAGAGCGAACTATGTTTTGGTGCAAACCGCTTGTCCAAACCTTTTTCGTTACTCAGTTTTGAGCAAAAAGACGAAAAAATTTTGTTTATGAAAATTTTTCCGCCATTGTATGTAACACGTTTTCGATCATGTACTTAAGAAAAGATCTGGAAACATTTTCAAGTTAAAGTCCCCACTCTTAATCTTTTGTCATCTTTAAAAATATGAGCTATCAAAGGTTGAGTCTCAAAATTGGTAGGACCATTATCGTAAAGGCCGGAAAGTTGTGAAAATGTTCAAGAAAGGTTTGTACTAATGAGTAGTAAACCGTGACAAAACGTTCATAAATAGTCTCTGGAAGATAAGAAAGGCCCTGTTTGAGAGTATAAAAGTTTTTCAGTTTTATGCTCTAAAAACGTTGTAAAAACAGTCACGTCTGCGCTATGTGAATGGCTAATAAATAACTGATTACTGTTTTCATCGACTTGTACACAGTTTACGGCTATACATTAAGACAACAAGAAAACGAAGAGCTGAAGAATTCAAGCACTTTGTTTTTTAGCAACTGAAAAGTCATTAAAACTCACCAAAGTTAAAAATTCTCTTTTCTGGACTTTTAACTTTGACAATCTGTGGATAATCCCAAATGCTATGGATGCTCAAAAACTTGGAATAGCTCTTGAAATCTTATTTTAACGCTCTAAAGTAAAGAACAGTTCAGCACGTTTTCTTTCAGATTATTATATACACTTACTTTTAGGGTAAAACAAACAATAAAGGTCTACATGAAATTAAAATCAATTATCATGGTATTGAACAAGAGCCCAGAACAACAGTTGTTCGTGCATTAGCAGCCATTACTG